GGCTGCGTTTCAGTGCACGCTTGCCAGCACCGGTGCCCTTGCACTGTAACTTAGACTGGGGTGCCAGCCTCCTTAGACTAGTGGAGGGACGCTTTAAGCTGTTTCCCCAGGCTCAGAGAATGCTCATGACTCATGCAGCAGCCGACAGCCCCGTCTGTTCCTGCCCAGGGTCTGCGGCTGCTCTGTCATCACCTCAGCTGGGAGTTTGGGGTGGGGTTGGTGGGGAGTTCAGAAAGGTCAGTGGATGACCCCTGACCCCCAGGTCAGCCAAGAGTATCCATACCAGCTGGCTCCGTCTGATACAAAGGCTGTGGAAAGGTGTCCTCTGGTACTGTGTTGAGTGTTAAGCTGTACATTTTCCAACATCCATGCTGCTAACTTGACGAATTTGAGCTGCGGTGAGAGAAGTAGAAAGATCTGGGCCTAAGCAAAGATGGCCATGACCACCGAGGGCATCATCCCACATCAGCTTATTCAGTAGTGGGCCCAGGCTCCGGCCAGACTGCAGCAGTTCCTGCTGTGAAGTAGGGCAGGCTCGAGGCTGCCCACCCCTCTCTTCCCACAAAGCTCTTAACCTCCTGATTTTGCTTAGAAGGAGTGGCTCACAACATTGCTCTATTATTCTGAGACATTCCAAGTTACCTCCCAGGACCGGAGACTCCTCTGATGCCATGGAGGACACAGGTCTTCCTTTCTTTATTAGGTTTGTTTTTGATTGCGCTGGGTCTCCGTTGCTGCGCGGAGGCTCTCTCTAGCTGTGGTGAGTGGGAGCTACTCTTCTTCGTGGCGTGCGGGCTTCTCACCTCTCTCATTGTGGAGCGTGGGCCTAGGTGCGTGGGCTCAGCAGTTGTGGTGCTTAGTTTCCCCCACAGAGCTTGGGACCTTCAGGGACCAGGGATGGAGCCCGTGGCCCCTTCATTGGCAGGCAGGTTCTTAACCACTGGACCACCAGGGAGGTTCAGACGTCTGTCTTTCTAAGCATCTTTCTAGGAAGGCCTAGATACCCACCTAGTGGGTTTCCTGGGGAATGAGGGCTCCAAGCCACTTTATCCAGCCTGGCATCACAGGACACACAGACTGTCGTGCTATTGGCATCTCTTTCCTGAGGACTGACTTTGTGCCAGGCTACACAGCCTACCTGCCTTCCATGCATAGCTCTCACACCAACCCTCTGAGGGTGGTAACCGTTATCACCCCCAGTTGACAGATGAAGAAACTGCAGTTTAGTCAAGTCAAGAAACTGGCCCCAGCTCACACAGTAAGTGATGGGGCTGTGATTTGATTCCAAGTTGACCTCACCACCCACACTTCCAATGAGCAAGCCCTGCTGTCATGTCAGACATACCCCATCTTTCCCCTTTCTCTTGTCAAGGTCTTGGTTCTCCGCCAAGTTTACTGGCCTGTCATCCTGGTGAACTTGTGTCTGTCACTGTGATATGGGGCCAGTGCATCTGTATGTCACTTCCCAGGCAATGTTTGTATTCAGACCAGAGTTGTCTGGCAAAGGCTCCATGGAAAGGAATACAATGGGAGACATTTAATTACTTCCATTGCTCACCAGCAGTCCGCCTGTACACAAGTGCCTGGCCCATGTTCCTCATGAAAATTCACAGGAACCAGGGCAAGAGAAAGAACCGCTGAGGACATGTCAGGAGATGAGGGAGAAGCCAGGGACCACATATCATGGACCAGTGCTGGCTGCACTGCCAAGGAGATCAGGACCATGGACAGGTCACCTGCCCTTCCGGGGCCTCTGCTTGCCTCCCTAGCAGACTAAAATCATCACCATCACCATCGTTGAGTCTTTCCTGTGTTAGGGCGGGAGGTACGGTCAGGAACAGGCAAACACGGATCTGCCTCATAAGCTTGAACTCAGACTCTTTCTTCATGTGGTGGAAGGGTCAGTGGGTTTTAAACTCTCTTGTTAGGAAGAACCCCCTTTTACACCAAAGGAAACGCCTATAGAAAATTCCAGCTCAGGATGGAGTGTAGACATCCTCAGATTGGAGTGAGAGAGGAAGTTCCCTGTGGATGGACTCAGTGTTCAAATCTGCCCTCCTGCTGAAAGGGCTCTTCCCCCAGACTAGAGACGCATTCACTTTGAGATGTCCAATTGTGCCGGGCCTTGGTTAGTTAACATTGTGCTCTAAAGATGCTCCCTTGCAGGATCCAGTTAAAGATCACTATTCAGTCCGTTGAAGTGGGTGAGGAAATACATCTGGTTGCCCAGACCTTGTCTGCTGCAGAGTTCAAGGCCAGTCGCCCTCAGGGTTATGGGGATGTTCGGTTGTCCAGGCACCCATGGGGATCTCTGGGCACAGCCTGCCTTACTCAGGCTCACAGACTCCCGGGGTGGACGATGGACCCGAAGCCCCTCCCTCTCAATCGTCAGGCCTCCAGCCCCACGGTGCCCAGTTTTTTCCTTTCCTCCCTGCTCGTGGGCAAGAGAAACCTTGTTCTTCTGTTTTCTAAGGGCAGTGCCACACCATTTTGAACTCTATGGGTTGGGCTGCAGGACTCTTCAGTTCTTTTTTTTCTTTCTGTGAGCATTTCAGAAGATGTAGCCCTATTCACTCAAACCCTTCCCTCTGCTTTCCAGGGCCCTCACCTACCACATTCTAGCTTCTTTGGTCAGTGGGAACCAGTGTCCTTATCAGGGGTCTGTGAACTGGGAGATCAAGTGAGGGGTGTCCATGCCTGAGTTCTACGGATTATACCATGAACCCACAGATACTGCACTAAAATTCGAGTCTGTGTTTGTGCATTTGGGGAAGTAGAAGTCCCACAGTCTTCATCAAAGACACTTACAAAAGGCCCAAGACTCCTGCTCTAGGGCCTTGGTGCATCCTCTCCATTGTACATGGTCTTTAAGCATCCAAGTAGCCTCAGCATCTTGGCCCAGAAGCCTCATTTCAGACGGGGACACCTGACACCCCAGACAGGGGAGACAGACGGCCGAGGCCACGCTGAGGGCACGAGGATTCAGTCACCCTCCTCACAGTCTGGCCTTCCTTCTGCAGCCCCAGCACGCGGAACCTTGGGAGAGATTCAGGCCACCAGTGGGAGCAGAGCTGGTGCTGCTTACTTAGACTACTTCAGTTAAAGTTTTGAAGTATTTGTAAATCATTTGTTAAAAAGTTGTATCAAAAAAAATTATCCTCAAGAGATCCTCAAGAAGATTTAGGGTCATTAACAAAGATACTTTCATTCTATCTCTTGCTGTCATAGCAAATTAGCTCAAATTTCATAACACAGGAATGCCCCAGCCTCACATCAAAGTGACAGACGCAAGTTTGCCAGCATGACAGGCCAGTGACTTGGCTGAGAACAAAGACCTTGACAAGACAAGGGGCTTGAATCTGAGTCTCCCTGGGCTAGAGCCAAAGTGTCAGCAGGGCTCTGCTTCTTCTGGAGTCTGTGGAGGAGAGTCTATTTCCTCCCCAGCTTCCAGAAAACACCCACATCCCTTGGCTCATGGCCCCTTCCATCCTCAAAGCCAGAAATGTTGCATCCCTGGCTGTTGTTCCATAGTCACAAGTCCCTCTGACCGAACCTGGAGAAAGGTCTCTGCTTTTCAGGACCAGGGTCATTAGAGGGGGCCCACCCCGGTAATGCAGGACAGCCTGCCTGTCTCAAGATCCTTGATCTTAATCACATCTGCATGCCCCTTTTAACACCTCAGGAAACACAGACACAGATTCCTGAGATAAGGATTGAGATGTTGACATCGTTGGGGTCGTTATTCTGCCTCTCAAAGCATGGTTCACAAAAGGTGCTTTTCGTTATACTGAAGAGGCCAGCAGAGTTTTCTTTAAAAGGCCAGATAGTAAATGTTACAGCTTCTTAGGCAGTGTGGTCTCTGTTGTAGCTGCTCTACTCCGCTATTGAGGAGCAAAAGCAGTGCCAGATAAAATGCAAATGAGTGGCAGTGGCTATGTTCCAATAAAGCTTTATTAATAAGGACAGATATGTAGCTTTATTAATAAGGACAGATATGTAGATTCAGTCCATGGCTGTCATTTACAGACCCCTCCTCTATTGGATTCACCAGACACCATCCAAGAGAACTTCCAGTCTGCCCTGAGCCGTGGGGCCAAAGGGACAAATAAGCTATTTTCTTGGCCTGGGAAGGGCCCTTGCAGTCTGATGGGGATGAAGCGATGTTAGTGGAAGTCAGGAGACTGACTGGTCCTTGAGGCAAGGGACCAAGGCTACAGGTGCCTCTCAGAAGTGACCAGGGCTTCTGGGAAGGACTTGCCCAGATTCCACTGAAGAACAAAGCTGGGAGGTCCCGGCCTGAGGAGCCAGGCTCACATGTTTGAAGTTTGTGGTTTGACTGTCTGTACCCTGGGCGATTGCACTCTGGTTAGGAGAATGAGCCGAGTAGCTCTTACAGACCTGGGATTCAAAGCTATGTGACCTTGGACAGGGGTGTCAGCTTCCTTGGCTCCGAGAGGGAGACTAGCAAGGTGATTAGTGGGATCACGTGTAAAGCATGTTTGTTGAATCAAGAGTTCTCCCTAAAGAAGAACCACTATTGTAATTAACTTCTGAGTTTTCCAGAATGCACTGAGAAAGCTGACCGCTGCAGCCCCATGTCTGATTTGCAAGCAGTCACAAAGGATATAAAGCCAATGCCTTGCCCGCTGGCAATTATGATGCTATTAATAGCAGTACTAGTCATGCTAAAACAGGAGCAAGGGTAACGGTTGCTACCCTTTAATTAACACTGCTTATTTGCCAAGAACTGTGCTGAGATGTTCACAAGGGTGATCTCACTTGGTCAGCTCCACAGAGCTGGGGGCAGAGGCCCATGATTAGTGACATTTTACAAAGGTGCCGAGGAGGCTCAGAGAAGACGAGGGACTTGCCTAAGATCACACAGCGGCCAAGGTTGGAGGCGGGACTCAAACCCAAGTTTATCTAACATCAGAGACTGTGTTCTTCCCCGGGCCCTGGCAGCCCAAGGATAACCGACTCTTTCTTGTGCCTCCCCCTAGTGTCCAGACAGCAGTGGACTGCGGCGGCGGCAGTGGCAGAAAGGAGATGTAAGTGAGCCCCGAATAGAATGGAGCCAGTGACGCTGAAGCCAGAGACGGGCCCCTGGCTGTGTCCAGCTTGCAGAAGGAGCACACACACCCACCTGGACAGTCACCGCAGTGTCCACAAGTGCTCTGACTCCATGCTCATAGCATACAGCACCGGGGACATACTACTGAATGGTAGACTTCTCGTAGACAAAGAGAAGCCTCCAACTTCCCACTGTCCTCAGACTCCGTCCGAAGGACAGACGTCAGTTGCCTCAAGAGTTTTTAGACTGACACTTGCTCCCTGCACATTCTGGTCCTGACTTACCCTCCACTTGGGACTCCTCTTCCCGTATCTCCCGTGCCCTCCGTACCTGCATGGGCACGAGTCCCTCCACCTGATGCTCCCTTCTCCAGGCCCGTGTGGCCAAGCTCCAACCTTCAAAGAGGATGGAGCCCAACAGCCACTACTGCGTTCCTTCCCTTATGCCTTCAAGAAACAAATCGGGGCTCCCTCTTTGTCCTCCTTAGAACCCATCGTCTGTCTTCATCTGTGGCACTGATAGTTTTCTTTTTGATGTTACGGTTATTTATATAGATGTTTACTCTGCTAAAATGGGGTCCTGTGGACAGGGTCAATGTTGAGTTCATGTTTATAGCTCCTTCCCATGGCATAGAGTTATTCTATAAACAAACAAAATTTGTGAATATATATATTTATTATATATCGTAAATGAGTGAATATATCAACCAGAAAGTGAAATAATCATTCAATACCCACATCAGTGGCAGGCTCCCACAGGCCTCTCCCTGTGCTGCTTTCAGAAATAGGGGGTGTACAATTAAGTCTCTGTCCACAGAGACATTCCAGCTAAGGTAGGCAAGCAGTTAAGACCTTCACAACTGATAGATTCCATGAACATATCATTTGGTCCAAAATCCAATGCCAAATTTTACTCCAAAATTGGAAGATACCTTGACATCTATATTAGAGTATTTATCTTCCCAAGGAATAGCAATGATTTTTAACATGGGCATTGGAATTGGAGGGACCAGAGTTTGCATCCCAGCTTCATCACTGACTAACTGGGTTACCTTGGTTAAGACCCACGCCCCCCAGTGTGGCCTCCCCAGATCCCATTACTCTCATCTATGTAACAGGTACAGTGCTGGCTCCCACCTCTCAGGGATAGTATTGTGAGCACTGGTTAAAGTGATGCATGTTCAGCACTTAGCACCACGCCTGGCTCATGCTAAAGGGTGAATATCTAGTTATTACTGTTACTGTGGTTGTCATCGTGTTGACAGCATCTTGCATTCTGGTTCTAGAGATAACGTCTCCACCCTCAGCTCCCAGCCGGAGGGCAGTCTGCAGTCTTGGTTGAGTTGTACTCTGTCCCTGGCCACAGACACCGCAAGGACCCCCTCTCGACAGTCAGCCGTCAGCAGCCGTATCCTCAGCCCCAGGTAAGAGTATTGCCTGCTGCCTCTGGGTCACAGGCTTCCCAGGTTGCTGTTTAAGTCTTCCATTTCCTGTGTCCTAGACAGGGACACGAATGGTCCAGTTTGAGGTATGACCCTGCCACTTCTTAGCTGTGTGACTTAAGGCAGGTCAGTTACCCTCTCTGAGCCTTCACTTCCTCCTCTGTGAAACAGGAAGTATAATTGTATTTACTGCCCCAAACAGTCAAAATGAGGAGGATCTAATACAGCCCACCCAATGCATGGCTTTCCAGATGATTTCAAATAGCACGGGGTGAGCATTTTTAAAAATAGCTGTAGATTTACTATGTTTGTTTTCCATCTAAGGCAAGTCCTACTAATTTTCCATTTATAGATAGTTTTGTATTTAAATTTTTCTTTATAAACATGTTTACTGAAGTTTTTTGGTTTTGTTTGTTTCTTTTAATGGGGGAAGTCTGTATAAAGACAGTTAGGCTGGATGATGTTTTCCTCGGAAATCTCAGCTTTCTTTGAATGTCAGAATTTTATATTTTGTTTCCTACCATGGAAGGAGACAAATTCAGTCACGCCTTGAGATGGGACCCTCACAAGTCTATAGGATTGCCAATAATAATTTGTTCCAACAAATAGGCCCCAGGCCTCAGCCTCAGCTGCAGGACTTAAATCTGTCTTCCCTCTTGCTTTCCAGCTCCATCCCTCTCAGCTCATTTGGTTTTCCTGTTCAAGGGCAGCCCTCTTGTAATGAGGAGCCAATGGCCATAAATCAGAAATTATGGATTAAATAGATGTGTAATTAAGATGAAATGCACACTGCTTGTGTGATAACAGAAGAGCCGATGTGATAAGATAGGAAAATCACAGACTAATGGAGCAGACCCAGACGAGTCCTCTCTGACTTGAAACGGGTTTGCTCTGAAGCAGGAGGCTGTCTTTACGAAAAGAAGGGGGTGGGAGTTCATGCCAAGCTTTCGGGCGTGTTCAGCAAATGGCAAATGTCTGCTGATAATCTTAGGCTGAAAGATTTGATGTTGAAAATATCAAAGGGAGGCCCTGAGAATGGGGCACATCGGGGGAGTTAATTAAAGCAAGATTATCTGATTACCACTCTTAATTAAAAACAAAGACCTGTGTGGAGAAAGAGCCATGTCCTCAGCGAACTCTGAATGCTCAGGACTTTTTCTTTCCTGATAAAACTAAATAATTTCTGGTCTCCCCGATCAGCCAGTGTATCAGGCAGCAGAGGCTGGAGCTGAAAGTGCAAGCACATTAACATAATATCCAAAAGTTTCATAATTATATTAGGTGCATGACAAGGAGTTACACCCGAGCTGAATGGGAGATGAGCGGCTGCAGTGATTTCCGTACGTGGACTGAAGTCAGAGCATCTGGCTTCCAATCCCAGGGCTGCTCCTCTGCAGCTATAAGATGGGGCAAAGGTTTTGTTTGGGTTTTGTGTGGGTTTTTTTTGATAATTTTTAATGCAGTATAGTTGATTTACAGCGTTGTGTTAGTTTCTGCTATAGAGCAAAGTGAATCAGTTATCCGTATACATATGCATGTATCCACTCTTTTTTAGATTACTTTCCTGTATAGATCATTGCAGAGTATTGAGCAGAGTTCCCTGTGCTAGACAGCAGGTCCTTATTACTTATCTGTTTAGTATATAGTAGTGTGTATACGGGGCTTCCCTGGTGGCTCAGTGGGAAAGAATCCGCCTGCTGATGCAGGAGAATTGGATTCGATCCCTGGGTTGGGAAGATCCCCTAGAGAAAGACATGGCAACCCACTCCAGTATTCTTGCCTGGGAAATCCCATGGACAGAGGACCGTCGAGGGTTACAAGCCGTGGGGTGGCAAAAGACTCGGACGCAACTGAGTGACTAAACAACAGCTGTGTGTATACGTCAGTTTCAGTTTCCCAGTTTATCCCTTTCTCCCTTCCCCCATTAGTAACCGTAAATTTGGGGCAAGTTGCTTAACTTCCCATGTTGTCTTGTGAGTAAACCATCGTCAGGGTTAACGAGAAGAGGCACTCAGATCCCAGTTCCTAGAAAGAGCTCCAGAAAACCAGCTGCTTTCCTGGTGTTGGTATTTGATGCCCAGAGTAACCCCGGGGAACTGATGCCATCATCTCCATGCTGCATAAGAAGGATCTGAGGCCCAGAGGTTCAGGAACAACTGACTGAGACAAACTCGGCCACACCCCAGCTCCTGTAGCTTCGCCCCGGGCGGCACCTCCAGGTAGCCCTCGCTAGACCCCAGCCCCCCTTTCCCGGCGCGCTGCCTTCCAAGTCCTCAGGCAGAGGGGCCTGCACCAAGGACAGCGGTGCAGCTGGAGGCAAGAAAGGACCAGAAGCCCCTCGTCAATTTTCTTCATGTTGGTGTCCCTCTGGCTGGCACACAGATGGTGCTCTGTAAATGTTTGTTGAATGAATAACCGGCCATAACAGCAACACTTGAGCAGAAATGCTAACTGTACTTGGCCACAACTCAGCTTTGTCATTCAGAGAGGGTCAGTAATTTGCTCCATGTCATCAGCAGGGAAGCAAAAGAGCCAGGATTTGAACTCTGGTTTAAATCCTTCCAAAGCCTGTATTGTATCTGCCATGCTTCCATGACTCCGACTTTTATCCAGGTGAATCACTCACCTGGCAAAGTTTATTGGCAAAGAGCTGGCCTGTTATTAATACTAAAACTATATAAGGGTCAGTATTCAACATCCATCCAAATGATATTTATTAAGTGCCTACTGAGTGCCAGATTCCATGGCATTAAGCCTTGAAAATTTTGAGCCTTTATTAACCTATTAACCTATAAACAGACTCTTTGGAGTTTAAAGATTCTAGAACTTCTGAGTTAGAAGGGACCATTAGATTATTTATTATTAGTCCAATTCTCTCGTTATATAAATGGGAAAAATTGAGGTCTACAGAGGGAACTATCTTACCTAAGCTTATAGTAAAGACTGACCCAGAGTTCAGGTGCCTTGACATCCAGCTTTATAATCTCTAAATACTTCTCCCTTTTATTAGAATATAACTGAGAAGGCTACAGTCCTCTTGCTCACCACCCCAACCTCACCTCCCTTCTGAAAGGTATCCACTGTCTTCAGTTTGGTGCGTACCTTCCACGTCTTTCTCTATGTATTTATAAATACACATGTACTTGTAGCAAATACATAGCATATTTGTGGGCTTTTAAAACACATAAGTAATACAATGCTACATTATGTATATGTACCTGTGTGTGTGTGTGTGTGTGTGTGTGTGTGTGTGTGAAGCCATTTCAGTCGTGTCCAACTCTGTGTGACCCTTTGAACTGCAGCCCACCAGGCCCTGTGTCCATAGGATTCTCCAGGCAAGAATACTGAAGCGGGTTGCCATGCCCTAAATGTATGTATCTAAATTCTCAAAGTGCTTCTTTCTTTCCCTCAATAGTGTACTTTAGAGATCTCGCCCTGTCAGTTCACATAAGTCTATCTCATTCTTTTAAATTCCTGCAGAACATCTTAAGATGATGCCATGGATTTATTACACTGTACTCTTGTTTCACTTTTAGTTGATTTCAGGATATTTGCTACTAACCTGTTGTGTGTGTGTTTAGTCACGTCCAACTCTTTGTGAGCCCATGGACTGTAGCCCGCCAGTCTGCTCTGTCCATGGAAGTTTCCAGGCAAGAATACTGGAGCAGGTTGCCAGTTCTTCCTCCACAGGATCTTCCTAACCCAGGGATAGAACCCTCCTCTCTTTCATCTCCTGAATTGACAGGCAGATTCTTTGTCACTTAGCCACCTGGGAAGCCCTGTTAACCTGTTAGCCTTTAAACACACACACACATACGTTTGCACAGGGCAAATGCTTCTCTACGTCAGAGGGAATCTGCATTTTAACTTGACCAGATGCCACCAGGTCATCTGGGCACCCTCTGTGCTGAGGAGGTGGAGGCAGGTTATAGTACAACGGGAACTCTGTGGTACGCACCCCCATATGACCTGGCCTGTCACAGGGCTCAACAAACGAGTCTCTGGGACATTTCCAAATTTGACTGAAAAAGAAGGTCACTCTAAAATCAGAAGAGAGGGAGAACGCAGTCTTCTGCCAAAAAAATAAAAGCATTCCTTGTATTATTTATAAGAGGACGTCAACTCAAGAGAAATACGCCTAAAGCTTGATGATTTACAACCCAGGAGTCATGAAGCTGCTGATAAATGCAGGAGCTTCTGGAGATGGAGACACTAAATTACCTCCATGCCCCTGGGGAGGGAGTTTATGGGCTTGGTGGTGGCAGCCGGCTTGGCTCCAGAGCCTCTTTTGACGGCCGGCTGCAGCTGGTGCCAGGGCGCCCAGAGCTGGCGTGGAGTGCCCGGCCCTGCAGGGTGCCCGCCTCTCCCTTCTGCCCTCTGGGCCACCACCCTGCCAGCAGAGTGTTCCAGTAAAGGGTTCTCTCCTCTCCCTCCCGGTCCTCATGGCACCTCGGGCTTTCCAAAGGGGGCCAAGCCCCATTTTCGTCCAGAGCCCCATGCCCCTCAGAACCTCAGCCTTGGTCACTCGCACGGCTCTGCAGGGCCCAAGCACAGACAGGCATCAACTGAACCAGCTGTATAGATGCTGATGCCTTGTCACTGGCCTGTTTTCTTTCATTTTACTGGACAGTTATTCCAAACCATCCTGACTTTCCTCTGGCTCCAGCTCTTCACTCTGAGCAGACACCCTAAACTCCTGGTTCATTGAAAGGAAAAACAGCGGCCTCAGAATGGTACCTATAAATTGATCACCGTCTGCCCCACCTTCCCTCTGGGCTCAGAAAATGAGATCCAGTCTCGGTAGAGTGGAATCCGCACCCCGCTGCCTGCTCGCTCCTACAATCTCGGCCCCTGCATTTCCAGCTGCCCTTCCTCCTCGGGTTCTAAACACCTTCGGGTCCTTCCGTCCTAACTATATCCTCACCTGTCACCCTGCAGTCCGTTTCCTCCCTTTGGAGTCAGGCTTCTCCAGAGTGGGGTGT